CAGAAAAGAATTGGTTACCCAAACATTATCAAAATATCGCCTGGTATGCTAAATTTGTGGTTTACTACTACTTATTATAACTTTTTCATCTAACCATAGATACACAAACTGTTATTTTCAGCTGGAAAATATTTCACTGGAATAATGGGTCCAGAATTCTTCGCTTATTATATGTACAAAGCTCTAGAGCTAGATATTTCATTTATCTATCCAAACGAGAGTTACCAATTAGCTACCAGTCGATTGTCTATTTTTTGTTTCTATGTCTCAGAATTTTACTGCATTATGTGGCGCATATATATTTGGTGCCCTCTTTTATCAATAATTATGTGTTCAAATAAATAAATACTGCATTCTGCAAGATATGTTAGTCACCTAAGTTGTTTGATTCTGGTGCATGCAAAATCACTATTGTTGTAACGGGTGGATTGCACGGTTAGATGCGCAGCGTATTATCGATCGACTCGGTAACACGTAAGGACGACCTAGAGTCCCGACTGGTCCCGCTTCCCCGTCTAGCCCAGCCAGTTGAGTCTAGAACGCAAGTCACAGCCTCTGAGTTATGAATCATTATATTCCAAACATACTCTATTTATATACTAACCAAACAGACCACATCGTACCATAAAAATAGAAAACAACATCCGTACAATATTTAACGAGTGAAATAAATAACAGTCAATAGGAAATGTTCATTTAACGTCCAAGGACATCATTAGACTTAACATGATAATGATTGGCACATTATTCCTCAGCATCCATAACAACTATATAACTTAAATACCCGATCTTAGTTCACAAACCTTGAGTTTAATGCATCATCAGAGTTATTGTGTTAGGAGTGCGAAATATTTTTTATTGAAGTTGACAAAAAATATATCAGTGACCTATTTACTATCTTCTTTTGTCTATCCAAAAGCTTCAGAAACTATCACCGTAATAGGCGTACTATGATTCGTTATATTGAACAAAAATTAGCAGACTTTCAATCAGCATATAAATCAACAGGGAACGTCTTCAAGTACATTCCGTCTGGTGTAGATGTCGAACTTCTGCTACAGCCTGTTTCACGGGATCTTGGTGAATCGATATTGTCTCACCACACGTTCCCTCAACCTAACGAAGCCAGAAAACCTTCTGATCCAAGACCTCATCCACTTATAGTTTGGTCACTCTTACCTCATGAAACTCAAATGTCAGTCTGCCATTTTACAATGTTTCGGCGTGCTTCCGCTATCCACGCTGTTTCAGATTTGGTGGTTATTGCAAACGCTGCAAATAAAATTACCGAGTCATCATCAAAAGATAATGGGATTTGTGCGCTAGAGTTTGGTGAGGAGGCTTCAACACAGGTAGAACGAGAAGATAAGTCAATACATGATGCCCTCATTAGTCACCGTTACAAAATCGACGGAAAAAAAAGTGGAAAAGCGCTATACGATCCAAAGATGCCTATACCTCTTGAAGCGGAACCAATTAAATCGAAAGATCTGATGCTTATTCAGGTAGAATTATGATTATGTGTACAATACTTACTTTATATATAATTATGAGGGTTAAAATATTAGTACCGTTAGTTAAGAGATAATATTATTATTACCTGCAATCATTTGAGTAGTAACTTGAGTAAGTCACTGGATAGAGTAAATCCTTCACCCTTGGATAACGAATTGTGCGTAGTGAAGTTCTTTTAAGATAAAACTATTTCCTTAATCTATTATTATTATTAATTATTATTGTTATTTGAACGCACAAATATGGGTACAAAGAGACCGAATACATATGCGCCACACAAGTCACTTAATTTGTGTGTGGGCTGTGGTACTGCCCGGGTACCCGATCCGGAGCAGGTGGTTTCCCTAGGGGGGCACGCCCGGGGGCTCCGACAGAAAAGTCTGATCCTCAAAACAGCGGAGCAACGTCTGGAGATGCAGTTCCATGGTAACCGGTGACCAATAATTAGTTCACACGCCATTTGTTCCCTCAGGGTCCTGGAGTCCATTTGCACCATTGGTCTGGAATCAGCGTTCTCCAACTCCCCTAGGTGGATCCTCCATATCCATCAACCTGGTTAAAGCGCCAGGCATTCGATTTTCGTCCCCACAATTTCGTTAACATTACCCCCGCCACGAGAAGGCAGTAAGTAGGACTTCCCCGGCAGTAGCTGTGTACGCGTGGCCATGTGAGAGCATTTTGAGAGGGAAAGCGGACTCTTCCCACCCTCGGCCGTACCAGAACACTCGGGGGCTTAAAAATCCCTAAACGTATTACTCCCTTCAAAAATTGACTGAAATTAGAAGTATTTTAGATAATGACATCTGTAAATATTTTTCTTTGATAGTTTTCTATGTGTGATTTGCTCGTCGCAATTTTCAGCGTTACAATATTTTGTTAACTGCGAATTACAAAAAACTCTTCATACTTGAGTCATTTGCATTAGGACTTTTATCTCTTATAATTGGACTAATTTGTACTCAAATATTGTATGCAACGAATACACTATCTTTCACAACAGAGTCAAAGGGCTTCAGATTTTTAAATTAATCGTCTCAGTATTAACTTCAGGATAGCGGTAATAGTTGCTCTTGTTTCAGAATGATGTGGGGCGTCTCTGACCAATAGGAAGCGCTGTATGGGTTAACATAAGAGTAGGGTGAAGAAAAACCGGGGAAAAAACAACACTTAACAACCCAATAATTCGTTAATAGACGGAGCTATGTTAAGAAATGCAGTGACAAGGGGGTGTTTATTATTCGTTATCAGTTACGTTTAACTTTAGGTGACATGGCTAAGTTGATCATAGCGTTACAGATGTATTCATTTTCTATTACTGACGGTTCTCTAGATGTGTTGCTACTTTGAATCTTACTTAGTGATCATACTCTGTTTGCAACCTTTCAGGCTGGGATTCGGCGTTTTGTGGCAGCTCCGATTTATTCTACACCAAGTAATCCTCGTGAAAAAGCTAAATTTGAATCGTTTTTTCCTGCTTCAGAAAGTTCCACTGTAGCGACTGTTTATGCACCAGTGATGTATTCTCCTGTTTATGTTTTACAGTTTAGGATCAGAGTAACAGAGGTATTTTATTGATATATTTTTGTTTAATATCAGAAGGGGTTTTGTGTATATTATAGTGATTTTAATAGTTGAAATCCTGAGTCAATGAGGAGTTCCATAGTAGAACGAAACGGCCGTCCAGTGCTTCCAGCTTTTCCATAGTGGTCTAGCTTCAATTGACTCATGATCTCAACTATCAATATTTTTGTTTGTTGTATGGATTCACACTCTGGATTTCTATCCGATTCCAACCCTTAGTTTATGTATGAATTCTGGGATAATATGAAAGCTTCAGTTTCATAGTAATAGCACGTTCATCTAGATCCATGTTCCTTTGTTGAAAAAACATTAAAGAGAAAATAACCTGGCCATTTTTACATATCAAGCTTCTAATGAAAACTAATTTTTATTTATCACGTTCAAACAATGTGCTAGAACTAAAACATGCTGAATCTATATTTATTTATATTTAAGGCCCTTATTAGGAGTCAATAAGTATATGTGATTCCAGTTAATAATATAGCTAAGTGACCCATAGTCGTATATCGCACAGTTAATAATAGATAATAAGGTTGTATCTAATTTGGAGTCTACGTCACACCAACTGCTAAGTTCATTTAAACGACAGCGACTTCTTAAAATATTCAGGATTCTTTGTGTATACTGCAGAAGCGTTGCAATGTACACGCTTGAGTTGCGCTTAGCGATGAAACAGTTGATAGTTTCTCCGTTATGTTGATATATGGGGACTTCCTCTCAGGCTCTACATTGTGCTTGGCTGAATACAAACCGTGAAAAGTCCCAACTACTGTATTAAATATATTGTAAAAACATCTCTGTTCACAACTAATCAGTAACAAGCATTATCTATAGAACGGAACCAGTTGGACTAAATCGAAGCTAACTGAAACCTCACATAGCAAAACTGGGAATAAACTGAATGGCAGTCTCCTCTAATTAAATTATACGATGCGTGACATTTGGTCATTTCCTAGCTGTTAGCATCATCAAACTTTAAAAGACTATTGTTTGACTCAATTAAAATGTCAACATTCATCAGCGTTTACAAAATCTTTCCTGCATACACTAGTGTTTTTGTTGTTGACACAGTTGGACTGAGTACTGACGCATTTACTTATTTTGTAGGATGAAGATGGGGAACTATCTTCACCATACGTCGGTGAATTGGTGGCAACAGGGTCTCTGAGATCAGTCGACCCAGCCATTTAATTATCAAGAGGATTTTTTTGTCAGGTCATCCATACAAGATTAATCAGCGTCATGTAGTTGTCCGATATATGTTCCACAATCCAGCGGACGTGCTTCATTTTCAGGTAATCCTATTTTATCCTATACAGTTATACCCTAACTGTTGGGGGGGGGCTGAAAAACCCTTTCCTACTTAGCGCCTCGATTTAGAGGATTTATCATTCAGCTCAACAGCTGGTAAATAATTTTAATTTCTCTAGTATCCAACATGCTAGTCACCTTTTTAAAATGATTTTCTGATTGGTATTAAATTTGTCTGACTTTTCGTTTCAGGCTATACAGTTGCAAACAAAGAGCGGAGCTGTTGGGCATATAAAAGAACCTGTTGGAACTCATGGTCATATGAAATGCGTTTTCGACCGACCTATTCTAGCAAACGATGTAGCTTTAATGCCTTTGTACAAGCGAGTGTTTCCAAAATATGTTTACGAACCAGTAGTTTCTAAATACCTCGACAATACGATAGAAGCAATGATTATGTTGTCGCTGACAGCGGTCACTCCAGATATGTAAGCTCAGATGTACTTCAACTAACAAAAAAAAATATTTCCAGTGCTTCACAGGAGAAAATGGACCAAGACGAATCAGCCTTATTTGCTTAATATAATTTGTAAATACTATTCACTTTTTTGCCGGATATTGTAAAACCGCTTAGTAAATTTAACAGCCGTTTTGGACGTACAACCATTGCTCCAGACAGCAGTGTTTCACAGATACACAGATATCCACAGTAAAACAGTCGAAAATGAGAGGTTGCATAGACTCAGACTTTATTCGTTTTTTTCTTATAAGCCACCAAAGAGTACATAGAAGTAACTTCCCAATCAGATTTAGAAAGAGTCCCATATGAGCATGAATTGTTGCGCAAACTATTTTGATGATCTATCAGATGGATATATTCGTTATCATTTGAGCAAGGATAGTTATTACTTTTATGCCATGGTTCTAAAGCCTCCATTCTTTTGAGCAAATCCTTTGGGTCTTGTGGGCTTGAACGACTGCGTAACGTAGAATAAAAATTATTAGCGAAAGAGATAGGTTCATGAACGGGTACCAATCCGTAATCAGCTGCCAATCTATCCAAGAGCGGTGGGTATACTACAAATTCAGGGCAATTCACAACTCCGTCCAGGAAAAGTTGTACTTTGCCCCAAATAAAGGAAATGTCAGTTCAACCGCATCTTTCGTTTGGGTTGTTATTCGACTAATTGAGAATGAAGCTTTGGGAATGTGACTGAATATACGGGGTTCCGAACTTAATTTCTTTAATATCAGATTCCGAAACTTGTTTTTTGTACATGTTTGTTTAACGCTTCGGTAGCTCTCCGCAAAGTTCGTAAGCATTTGGGATCGTTGCAATGAAAAAGCCGTTTTCTTGTAACAGAGAGCTGATATTTGACAAAATTCTACGTGCCTATATAGACAGTAATTTAAATATAAATCAAAAATTAATCTATTTTGTATAAGGTAAATAGAGACTTACAACAATTATCAAAGACGGGTTGTGTTTAACACGTTGTCAGTCTCATTTTGGACTACGCTTATGCTATTCCATATAGGCACAACCGTACTGTACGGCCATGATATATATATATATATAATATATCAAATGTCTAGTTCAAAATGCCTTGCGGGTCTGAATGAGAAGCGTCAAAATGTGCGTTGGGAACTTACAAGTGTGTGGTAACTAGACAATTTTTAAATGAAATTCAACCGTTGGAACTTTAATTGGTCGTCCTGAAAGTAGCACACCGATCACCGGCGAATGTAGTTTACAGTTGCCAAATCGATACCACAAGAGTTTGAGATTCTAACACTGACCTTAGCACCATTCACTATGTGGCTTCATAACAAGTAGGTAATTTCGTGAATAAGCTTACTAAATAATAACAATGATGCCAGTAGTTCAACGTTGTAGCTTAAATCTCAGCCCTAGAGGGACAAAGGTTGGAAAGCGAACCTGTGACTTTTAGCGATTGGAAATTAGTGACTTAATTCCTTTCATTGAGTACCGAAAACTATGAATTAAGTAAACAATCTCCTGATAGTACGAATGAGACTAGCTAATACTAGTTAAATGTCTAATACAAAACAACCTAATCTTAATACTTCTGACAGCTAAGACTCGGCAAACATCACTCCAGACTTTAAGGAGGGCTAGTGGAATCCTTCAAATTATCGGGGGGTAACTTTACGATACCTTCAAGGATTATGGGATCTTTGGTTTGCGAAAGCGTACATCACTTGTTAATTTGACTTTGCAACTCGGTAACAGTTTCAGAAAGTCACTCCTGCATTATCAATCTGCTGACTGTAACCAACAGATGAACTGCCGTTCCCAATCTCAAGGGGAAAGTGTGCGATTCCCCCAAAGCTTTTGATAGGTCAACTGCACATGTTTCGTCAACAAGCTCAAATAGATAGATACTGTCGCACTTTACCAGGATGTGAAATGTCCTAATGTAGTCTTGGATATTCCCAGCCAGGATAAAAACCTAGGGCTTCAGGGAAATCTGACACTTAACCGAGTTCATGTAGACAAAATCGGACTTATTATCAACACGGAGATGCAAAGTAGACGAGCTGCGGTATTTTATCTGCTACGCATACAACTTAGGGGATTTTCGTCTAAAACGGTCAGTGGTTAGAACAGATCTAAATGTCTAAACAGCGTATGATCTTAAATCCAGTGCTGACCGTTGTAAAAATTCTCTTGGAGGGAACCTTGCGTTATTGGCTTCGGAGTCCATCGTGACCAGTTTAAACAATTAGCCTATTAAATCGTCAAAGTTTACATTTGACTCCATTGAGAGTAAGGTAGTGTTTACTCCAGTTAGAAAAACAAGCCTTCTGAGCCGTGACCAAAAACATGCCAGTTCAGGGGACTAAATTCAGGTCTTGAAATGGGCACACTGAATATTTACTCATTAGAATAAAGATGACCTAACAATTCTCAACATCCTCAACACCCCTGCCCATCATATAAAAAGACCTACTTAAGTTCGGTTACGACATTGGTGAAAATATCAGGAAGTTAAAAGTACAGAACAATAGGTCGGCACACTTGCACGTTACGAATAGCTAGGACTTGAGATTCTCTATCAGTCGAAGTGGCATCCGTGGAGTCCTTCAAGTGGGGACGTGACGATTTTAAGCACTCGGCACAGTACTTTATGTGTTCACACGAATGACTGCTAGACAGCCAGAGTTTTCAAAAGATTCCTCGGAGAAGTGTACAACAGCTAATGAAACGACTTGATGAATTCTCACACATTGTACAATAAGGTATCAGAAATCTGCTATCTGTAAGTACAAACTACTGAAGAAAAAGTGTTTAACTCGCAAATATGAAAATTATCACAGAATCAGTGTAATAAAAACGCAATTCTGGATAGATTACTTGGAGCTCATTAAATTACTGTGATATCATAACACACTTGACAACTTTAAGTACATAATAGTTTGAGGTGGATGATATAGATCAGAATTTCTAGAAAACAAATTAGTAAATTACCTGGGCTATGCTCTCGAAAGCATAGTGAAGTGCGAACTGACAACTGACTAGATCATATAAGACACCAGATGGAAGCACTTGTGGAAGTATAGCTTCTGAGCAGTCCGCCACGAAAAAGTCTGCAGTGAAAACAGACCGTTTATTTCTACACAGTTGTTCATACCGATGACGACAAACCTCAATAGATTCATTGGATAAATCCACAAAGGTAACATGTTGAACACCGCCGCGTAACCACTTTAACTGGTCCCCACCCTTACCACAGCACAGATCTAATATTCGAGCACGATTGGAGGGAACATCTAAGCTTTGAAGACTCTTACTGATGAAAACGCTTTTCATCCAGTTGTTAAAGTTCCTCAGATAAAATATACGAGTTTCTCTCCTCTTGATATGGGAATTATTTTCATCATTGCGTGCAGCCGCATCGTAAAAGCTGATGACATCTTTGCGATTTGAAATCTCGGCCATTTGAGATAACGCGCGCCATGAAGCTAAATCTTCAACTAGATTTGTCAATCAACAACCTTATCAATAAGATATAAAGTCTTGGCTTTTGTGTCTGTGCCTGGGATTTTGACATGTAGCTATTAGAGAGATAAATAAACTACCCATCATAACTCCTAGGAGGTTTTCATATGAAAGTTACGTATTCGAATGGTTTCAAGTTTTGAACGGAGAAGAAGAAACTTTTGCTTCACGCCTTCTGTGTCCAGTAGAAATGGATCACCAATAATTCCATGCAGGAACCTAGGTGCATTAACGATAAAAGAAGAAAAAGAGATTTGTAAACCATAGTAAGATACTATACTTAGTCCTCAAGTATCTGTCAAGTTTCCTCTTTAAGGATTCGTGGGTGAGTGAATCCGAGACGAGTAGGGTGGGGTAATCCTTCTAACACACTGTCATCATACTAGATATTAGTGGTTGGCTCCCTGTAGATGACTCCAACTAGACACTTCGAGGTGGTAGACAATCTTACTGAGCACCATACGGATTCATTAAAATTGTTAAACTCATGGTTGTGAACTTGGTGTACCTCCAGACAGGATCGTAAGTACAAAGCTACTCCACCACCAATTCCTGTTTTTCTGTCATTGAGAAACAAAAACATCACAGGCGTTGCTAGCTCCTGGTCCGTAAACTGAGAAGTTATCCAAGTTTCAGATATTCCTATCACATGAGCCTTATTAAAATTGCTGAGTTCACATAGCTCATCCATATTACTTGGTAGACTCACGGCGCTCATGTATAAGCAGTTTATGCTTTCAATTTGAAGCGCGTGAGTTTCTTCCTGTTTGTCTGTATGAGCCTTACGTGAATGGACAGGTAGCCTACCCATATAAGGTTTGCCAAGTCGATAGCCCCTGTCGTTTACACGTTTTATTTTTATGATCGAGACAGTCCACAAGTGGAATGCCCAGCTCCAACTTGCCTTTGAACTTGATCCTGACGTCCTGTGGCCTGTCCGGGAGCATATAGGTTGCAGTTGGCAACCGACGTCTTTTGGCACGAAATGATTCCAGAGTTGTAGCCGCCATATGGGAGGATGGGAAAGTTATCTTCATCAGCCGGGGTCTGGACTCACTATCTTTCTTCGCAAGTCTCATCACATGTTGAGTCAGTATATTTTTGAGCCTCAAGGACTGCTTGACGAATTTTCATTCACTAATATCAGATTTTGCTTGAGTAGGGTCCGTGTTTTCCGGTAAACCTTGCACAATGATATTTTTTCCGCGGAAAAACTTCTCGCGAGATTCCTTAGGGATGTTCCAGATGGCATTGTGCTCAGAATACGGTATGTCGGGAAGTATTCTTACGTTCCCATCGGATTTCAGTAAATGACTACCTATCAGGAAATCCTCTACGTCGGTAGCATTCTTAAATGTCACGCGAAGTAGCCGGACGGACATTCTCGGGGATAGATGGTGTGGACAAACGGTGACGCCTGGTCTTTTTTGACTTTCTTAACGGATGTCCGATTACCTACAGAATTTTTGGGAACTACCGTTGCATTCAGGGATCCTGTGCTGAGAGTTCGAAGTCTGCTGGGAGAGCCTGTTACTTTTGACGTTATGATGGTACTGAGTTCCAGCATGTCACCACTAGTGTTATTACGTGCTCCACCGATAGTAGCGATGTCGAGATCCCTCTTTTTTTCGTTGCATCTTTTTATTTGTCTATCCGTTTTATGGTTGTCTTTTTTCAAGTTTGCTGACAACTTATCCCTCAGACCTGTCAATAAGACAGTGATGTTACTCAGCAAAACTTCGCCATCCGTCTTGCACACGACACATATACACCTATGATCCGACCCACTGAGCCTGTTGTAAGCAGTTGCTGTAAGATCTGTGCACGCTTCATGGAACCAACTACTGTAGTTGTCGCACTGCATGCTAGATGTAATAACAAAACGGTATCCGGGTCGTTTGCATGAGTTTTTTATGACTATGGTGACATAAATTGTTTTATAGATCCTAGCAATAGCCTAAAGCCGTTGAAAAATACGCTAATAAGCACATTAAAAAACGGGCGAAATGGATAAAAACGGAGAAGGTGAACTGACGTAGCCTTTAAGTGAAAAACTATAAAAACTGATTAGTAAGCTGAGACAAAGCCACAGCTAACTATTAAATTGGGTGAAAGTCGAAAGGATTAATTTACCGAATGCATAGCTCAGAATAGATCGTTAGATCAGAAATGGTCTTACTGTTGCGTAAGAACACAGCAAAAGTTAGAGAAATGAAAGTCACGTTAGGACAAATTTCCCGTTCAAAAAGCGCGCGTTAGAAAAACTGGCCTTTCGGCAACTACTCTCTCCAGCAAATGGACCACATCTTACAGTACATTGCAAATACAGGGCATCTATCCTAGCGAACTGACACTTTGTCTTGGACATATTTCTTGAAAATTTTAGGAAGAACTGAACTGATACACTTGATCATATTAGGAAAGAAGATATTAGTGTTTGGTATGAGTTTTCGTGGACAACCCCTAAACTACTGATCGGAAAGATGAGAAAAAGCCTTACCTTATGACGCATGTACTGTCAGTAACTATCCAAAAATACTATAAGATTATCGTTGCAATGTCTCGAATATGTACTGTGAATTAATTCTTTGAAATGTGAGAGCAACATCCAAGTTTGCAGGTGAACGGTTTTGCTAGCCCGTTAATAATAATGATGAGAGGTAATAGACGCGCCATTGACGATGCCGTTTTGGGGTGGTGATGAAATATTACGGAGGTATAACTTACTCGATATTCGGAATTAACTGAGCACCTGAGCTCGAAAGGAATAATAATATGTTGTTCTCAAAAATCACAAGTTGCATGAGGCATGCCGACTTACAGTCAATATCAACCCATTGCAAATTCTGAATTATTTATTACAGCAAGCTCAACGTTTTCCTGCAGAAGCAGGGTACCGAAAATTTGGTTCATAAGCAGACGACCGTTGAACTAAAATTGAATCATGCATTGTAAAAGACGGAGTATCATGTGGATGCTGCGTTACATTGACGTCCTATTGATACAACAAATTGCAGGTGTCATGCATTTTATGAAGCAAACAAAATTTTGCATACATCTAGGTGTTTTTTTATACTGGTGTACGTATAGTTTTTGTAACTGGTCTTTTATAGAAATAACTGCCTGAAGTGTAAAGGAAGACGCACATAATAATAATAATAATAATAATAATAATATATTTCTGCATGTGCAGGTACACACCGTTTTTACAGGCATGATCTATTAATTACAACATTTGTTGGTTCGCAAAATGCTTCCCAACTTATTAAGTTTATAGTTGTTATAAAGTGAAATCGTAGAGCGCTTGCTGTAAACTATGACCTTGAGAGGACGCGTACGTCAAGTTCGCTCCAAACGTCAGAAGTTTCATAGCTGTGCTCTCAGAGCAAGATTCTGAAGGAGAAAAAAAAGAGAAACAGAAGAGCAGCAAGGCACTTGGATATGAACGCCAAAGGTTGCTTAACATTGTGTAGTAGAGCGGACAGAGGTATAATAAATTAGAATAAATTCATATAATGTCTTGTTAGAGTGAAGTGAAGTCAGAGGCTCCATATTAGAGAATGTACTAATAAAGAACAACGAGTTGTGATGTTTAACAAGTTGGAGTAAGCTCACATGAAGGAAGGGAAGTCAAGGTTGGTACAAGGAAAGCGGTTTATTAGAAGGGTGTGTATATAGAGGGTGAAGTGTTAATTTTACTAGTGACTATATCTTTCATTGTCTTTTTTCTTTTCTTTTTTTGTCCATCCGATGTCAGCCACGCAATCCTAGTGTAAAAGTCCGAGTTAGCATGTTATAGGTTGTCTTAGTAGAATAGCTAATCCAGCATATTATTGGAAACATGAGTCTGAGTGGTGAGCGTAGGAAGACAATCTATATCTTAGATTGACTGTCTTATTCTCAATTATAAAGAGCCTGATACATACAAAATGTTCTGTCCCCACAAACACGGGTGGTTTGAAGTTATCGCCCTCACCATCAATGCTTGCTGGTCAGTAACTCCACCCTCCCTCCTTTTGTGATGTTAGGCTCACTTAGGCTTATTTTTGTATATACGTCATACCTCACACAATCCTCTGTTTCACAACTTGTTGGAAAGCGCTATTTCTATAAGTACCATTTTACAAGCTTATCAGGCAGTTACAAGCTATGGACTGTGGGTAAAGCATCGATGCAGTGCCTCTGTTGACTATAGTATAAAGTATAGTTTGCCAAACAGAGTATAAGCGTTAAGAAGGGTATATTGTAGGATAGTTGTTTATTTAAGCAGGCGGAAAAAGTATAGAAGTATATGAGTTGTGGATAAGGGAACGAGTGGAGAAATAATATTAATTGCTAGTCAACATAGTGTACAGAAGAGTAAAAAGTTAATACAGGATAAACAGGAAGGAACTCACAGTAACTTGGTGCTGATGTTATTTTCTGTTGTCCTGACCAGTTGATTGGTAACAGGCTCCATAGATGCAAGACCACTGGTAGTAGGCAGCCGATTGTGCGGTCCTCTTGACTTTTTAGGGTGGTAGTGAGTGTCCCTTATCGACCGAGTTTAGTTTAATAGTAATGATAGGTCCAGTGAGTTACCTGTCTACTTCAAGTGAAGAAATGGGGTGGAAAAAGTAATTAATACAACTGCAAAGTAGGAAAAATAAGGCAAACTGAACTTGAAGTCCATTTTGGTCTAGACATGGAGAGAGCCTATGATGTCTGAGTGGGGTGCAGATGTGTTCGTACGTGCAAGATCAGTGCGAGTGAGGGCTTGATCAAGCAGTTTCACAAACGTATGTAGTTCATCTGCCATGCGAGTCTCGGAAGGAAGACTGTTCCATATTATTGCATACTTGGTGAGGAAGAAGTTTTCCCGAGTTTTTGATCTGTATTTCTCAACTTTGACCGTAGATACTTTGTTTCGAAGTCCGTATTCATGTGAATCTCGGGCAAGAATTATCTGACATGTTGAGTAAGTAAGGTTTTTGAGTAGTTTGAAGTAGAGAATCAAATTAGACCTAAGCCTTCTCTCCCAAAGGGGTGCTATTC